TATATATGTTTGTACGTACGTACGTACGTACGTACGTACGTAGGTATGTATGTATGTATGTATGTATGTACGTATGTATGTATGTATGTATGTATGTATGTATGTATGTATGTATGTATGTATGCAATATACATGATGTATACTATAACATATACACACATATATATATATATATGTACACACCCACATATATGCATGTGTTTGTGTTAGTTAGCAGGATTCCCCTTTTTGGGCTTTGGGGTCCAGGGCTCTGGGAGCTTTTTGTTTTTTGATTTTTTTTTTACAGGGCTTATGGGTGAAGGGGGTGTCGGGGTTTAGTGAATCTAGGGTGTTTGCGGCGTAGTTTAGGACACCTGCAGGCCAAAAGAGGGGTTAAAGAATCGCACCTTAAGCGAAGCACCCGCAGCCCACATGCCCCACGCCCAAAGCCAAGCCCGAAACAATAAAAGCTTGAACGCAAACCACACTGAGGCACTTAACTTCACCCCAACCCAATATCCACAAACCCCCAAACCATCCTAAACCTAAACCCTAAACCCTAGACCCTAAACCCTAAGTCCCAAACCCTAGAAAGCCCCCAAAGCCCCAAAAAAGAGCCAAAAAGCCCAGGGTGCTGAGACAGCCGGCTGCACCACCGCCCGGGTTGCCGGCTCCCCCGTCGCTGCTGGGCCAGATATTGCTATTTTTATTTGCATGGTTTTAAAGAAGTTATTTTGTTTGTTAAAGTTTTGTGTTTTCATTTGTTTTGTTTTTGTCCGGCCTTTAGGGCTTTAGGGTTTGGCTTTGTGTTTTTCGCACGGTATTCATAAATTCCGGGACCTCGTCCTCATACATCCCTAAGCACTAAACCTCACGATGTTGCCCCTTATACTAACAGTCCGTAGTAGGGACTATAATAAGGGGTACGATAATCCCTATTAGGGACTGTTGCAAGGGGGAATATCCCAAACCTAAGGCCAAAACCATACATATGCAAGGGATAGTGGGTTTTTTGGGGGTAGGGGGCAGGGCTGGCGCTTCAGTTACGTAGCTGCCCTAAGCCCTAAACCTGGGTCCTAAACCCCTAAACCCCTAAACCCTAAAACCTAAAACCCTAGACTCTGAACCCCAAACTAGACCCTGAACCCTAGGCATCCAACACCAAGCTTTCAGCTGCGAAGCGGCGTCCCCGTTCAGCGAAAGCCCCAAACCTGACACCTTAATTGTACCTTAAACCCAAGCCCTCAAACACTTAAGCCAGACAGCTCAGACCCTAACCCTAAACCCTAAACCCCAAACCCCAAACCCTAAACCCCAAACCCGAAACCCTAAACCCTAAACCCTAAACCCCAAACCCTAAACCCTAAACCCTAAAACCCCTTTTCTCAGCGAGTGGAGCCCCCGAGGTCGGACCTCCAAGGCCGACTCTGCGTGCGGAACACCTTTTTCGACGCCCCGGCGTGCCTTAACGGGTGGGTTTATGATGGAGGCTTATGGGGTTTAGGGTTTAGGGTTTAGGGTTTGGGGTTTGGGGTTTGGGGTTTGGGGTTTGGGGTTTGGGGTTTGGGGTTTGGGGTTTGGGGTTTGGGGTTTAGGGTTTGGGGTTTGGGGTTTGGGGTTTGGGGCATTATTTGTATGTCTTTGTGTTCGTTTATATGTGTATTTTATATGAAGGGGGCTTCAGGGTTTTGGAGTTTTCGCTTTGGCATTGTGGTTCAGGGGGTGTTAGCTGGCTGACGCTGTTTTTTTGTTGCTGTCCTTGGCTGAAGAGGGCGCTAGGGTTCCCAACTGCAGCTTAACCCTACCTCGGACCCTATTTACCAACAGTTTGCCCCTTCATTGCTAGGCATAACCCGCAGAAGGTAAACCTCAAGGTTTGGGATCTAGCTTTGGGTCTCCAACCAAACCTCGCAAGCCCATGCGCCGGAATTTCCACCTCAAGGTATAACTATGTTAGGATCTAGGGTTCTAGGGTTTTGGGGCACACCGGAGCACTAGACGCCTCACGAGGTACCAGCATCGACCCAGGAAGGAAAGCAGGTCAAGCACAGCGAGCCAGAGGAGCACGACGAACCCCTGACATCGGACCAACAAAGATGGGAGGACGGGGAGATCCCCGCATGATGTCCACGCCCGCCTCTGCGCCATGTGGAAGGCGCCGCATATCAATGGAGGCATATCGGGGCCCAGGCCTATGCTTGAGTGAAGGATCTCGTACGCAGCACCGTGCAGTCCTGTGCTGTGCCGGGCAGGCTGTCGACGCTCTGGTGGGCCTGTGCATATAGGGTTCAGGTTCAAATGCTGCGGCCTTTTCGTCTTGCTCTTCCAGAAGTTTGTAATGTGACCTTTTTGGCATCCGTATTTGTAGGGCATTGCTTTTTCCCGGCTTGTTGAACTCAGCCTACAAACCCTGCGTGTCCTAAGCACCGTAATTTCAGGCCTAGCGGCACGGGCCGGCCCCCGCCCCCCAAAGCACGAAACCTTGAACCTTGGCACTGTCTTCTCTTTCCGTTTTCTTTGTCCTTTGTCTTTGTCTCTCTCCTCTCGCTCTCTTTCCATTTTTCTTTGTCCTTTTTCTTTTTCGCTCTCCTCTCTCTCTCTCTCTCTCGCTCTCTCGCGTGTTTTTTTTCTTCTGTCTTTGTTTCTTCCTCTCTCTACTTGCCTGTTTTTCTTTTTCTATGTCTTTATCTTTCTCCTCTTACTTCCCTGCGCTTCCTTGTTTTTATTTCCTCTTTCTCTTTATCTTTTTGTCTCTCTTTATCTTTATTCTCCTCTGCTTCCTTGTTTTCATTTTCTCTTTCTCTTTATCTTTTTTGTTTCTCTTTCTCTTTGTTCTCTGTCTCTTCAATATCTTTTTCCTTCTACTTCTCTTTGTCTGTCTCTCTCTCTCTTTCTCTTTCTCTTTCTCTTTCTCTTTCTCTTGCTGTTGGTCTTTCTCTGTTTCTTTTCCTCTCTTTGTTTCTCCTTCACCTCTATCTTTTTTCTTTTCTTTCTGTTGCTGTTAGTCTTCCTCTGTCTGTCTCTCTCTCTCTCTCGCTCTCTCTCTTCTTTGTTTTTTTTTCTTATCTCTCTCCCTCTCTATCTTCTCACTTTCTCTTGTTCGTTCACCTTTCTCTTCTTCGTTCACCTTTGTCTCTTTTTCTCTTTCATTCTTCGTCTCCTTCTCTCTGTCTCTCTTTCTCCTGCCTTCGCCCCCCCCCCCCCCCCCCCCCCCCCCCCCCCCCCCCCCCCCCCCCCCCCCCCCCCGCCCGCCCGCGCGCGCGCGCGCACGCACGCACCCGCATCAGGAGCATCATTGGGGTTGGTTTGGGAGCCCAAAAGACATTCTAAGCATGCGTTTTGCCTTCGAAAAACCTTCAGAAAACGCTGTAAACACGTGTTTTTGAGCTTGGGAAGCCTTTTGGAACCGAGGAAGAGAGAGCATCATGAGCATCAGCGGCCTCCCCCAGGCCATCCGAAACCTCCTGAAACACGCCGATTATATGTGCTTGAACGCTTGCGTGCCCACCAAACCCCCAAAAGCAAGACCCCGAATGCCCTTAAGCGCATTCGGGGTCCTGCTGTTCGGGTGTTTTGTAGGCACGAAGCCGTTCGAGCGCGTAAAATGAGCGATTTTAGGGGCGTTTTTACGTGGACCCACAAAACACTCGGTATTTACGAGGTTTTCTGCTGTTGGAACACCCCCCCAAACCGAGCATCATGAGCATCAGCTGGGTCTCTGGGCCGTGGGCCCGGAGGCCCACGAAGCCCACATGAGAAACGATGGCTCGATGATGCACCCAGACCCCGCGCATCAGCAGCATCAGCAGACCCCCCCCCCCGACGTGGGTTTCGATGATGCGCACTTTGGGGGCGGGTCAAGGGCAACAAGGGTGGGGGTCGGAGGCACGCGTGAAAACCCTCATAAAAACACGGTATTTACGGTGATTTCAGCGTTTTTCAGCGTTTTTTCTTGCCTTGGGTCCGCGGGCCAGGGCTGCTGATGCTCATGATGCTCGCCTGGTTTTGGGCTTCCGGTACCCCCCCCAAACCTTGAAAAACATGGTTTCGGCCTGGCGCGCGCCCCATGTGAAAAGCTAGGGTCGATGATGCGCGCCCGTGAGGGTTTAATGGGGTGCTGCGGGTGTTTTGTGGCCTCGGTTTTTCGTAAAAACCCATGGTTTTTACGAGGTTTTCGTGCTTTTCGCACCACCGCGTGTTGCGTCCCCTTGGATGCCGTTTCGGAGGCCTCCCGAAGGGCCCCGCGCGAATTTGAAGCAATTTTGGGCGGGGTCGGCGGCTCGGGCGCTCGCCCCTTAAAGCTAGCGCTTTAGTGCGACGCGGGCTCCGCCCTGGACCACGGGCGGCGCGGGGGCCGGATTTAGGAGCCTCCGGCTCAAGCCGCCGACCCCGCAGGAGAACAAGTTTAAGGTTTGGGGTTTGGTGATTTTGTTTGCGGTTCCTGTTGGGGGGGGGGGGGGGGGGGGGGGGGGGGGGGGGGGGGGGGGGGGGGGGGGGGGGGGGGGGGGGGGGGGGGGGTCCCACCCCCCCCCCCGCCGCGTTTTGGTGGGTAAGGCACCTCCTTTTCCCATCCAACACGCCGCCAGGGTCGGCGGACCTCCACCCTAAACCCTAAGCCCTAAACCCTAACTCCCAAACGGAGCGCGCCAGGATATCGAAGATTCGGACCACGAGTCCGTGGGCCGGACGCACAGCGCGCCCGGACGCGTTGAGGGGGAGCCTTGGGCAAGCAAGAGGGTTTAGGATGGTTTAGGGTGGAGGCCCCTCCGACCTTGTCCGTCGAAGTCCCTCACGTGTGCAACTAACATCAACCTTCATGCGTGCATCTGCGTAGGCCAACGGCACCACCCTACCAGGGTGTTGCGTGAGCCAGAGCTGGAGCTGCGTGCTGCAATTTGATGGCCCAAGGCGAGCGGCCTACAAGCATGAGGGTGCCTGCTTTGCTGAAGCCTTGCATCCTCCTGTACTGCATTCTCTGCGTAGCTTTCTTTCAAATCCTCGCGGCCCTCGCGCCAGCACCCATGGCGCTGGTCTTCAGGCGCCCGGCGCAGAGCGCCGGGCGCCCGGCGCAGAAGCGCTCTTCTCCGAGCCTGGCATGCCCGGCCAAGCGAGAGTGCCGGACGCCCGGCCAGGCTGCCGGAGGTGTCAAGTATGAGTTCTGGCCTTCTGACTTGAAGAGGGCCGGGCACACCTCGGTGGAGGTGGAGGACCATGAGCCGCTTGGAAGGCACCTGGCCAAGCTTGGCCCCAACGAAGCGTGCGGAATCCACCTGGCGCGCATGCAGAAGCTGCCCTGCAAGCTGATCCCGAGCTCGAAGTTCCGAAACGGGGCTGACAGGCTTGGTAGCCCAGTGGGTACCCTTTGCCCAGTTTTTTTGGGTTATGGGCTCCCTTAAAAAGAATGACCAACCCCAAAAAAGGGTGCCCTTATCATAATATGGTTACCGGGCTACCAAGCAGGTGGTGGTGCCCCATTCATCAGGGCAGCTATGGAAAGAAGGCCCAGCTGGAGCAGGCCAAGAAGACGGGGGTCAAATGCTGTGACCAAAGCGCAGCTTTGGTGGATTGCGTTTGCTCCTCAGAGGTGAAGAACCTGAGGCTTGTAGAACCTGGAGAGCTTGGTCATGCAGACGACTACTGCGAGCTTGGGCTATGGATTGGTCTTGCTCCAGCTCTTGATACCTACAGCGGGCAAGACAGCTACTTCTTTGCAGGCATCCACGTCCAGGCAAGGAAGGAGTTGGGAGGGAAGAAAGTGATCGATAAGAACTACCCGGCGGTTCGCATCAAAGATGCCACGGGCCGCTTTCCGAACATCCCGGCCGGGGGCATCTTGGTCACGACGCCCGCGGCGCTCGAGTACCTCTACTACATGGAGAACCGATGCCCGGTGAACGCCCAGTTCAGGTTGGCGCCCAGCTTGCCACGATCCACTGTCCAGCTCAAAGACATCGTGAGATGCAAGCATTGCAGCGCTCTGCATGAAGACATTGGCGACAGGTTTGGGCAGCAGTCCCACAAGAAGCATCTCTGCGGCTCGTGTGGGCGTGACATCTGCGACCGTGCTGGCAGCATTGGCAACCCTCTTCAAGTCTTTGACAGAGTTTGGAGCCGAAAGAGTGTGGACCAGATCGACCCACAGAACAAAGAGATCAGAATTGATTCCGCGGTGCACCGCCTCATGTGCTGGCCGTCGACCCCCGCCCTCTTTTGGAGCCGCGGCGCTCCGGAAGTCTGGGGAATCCATGTGCACGGATACGATGAGAGAGGAGATCGCGTCATTGATGACACCTACGGCAGTGTGTACGTGGACGGGAAGAAGCTGTCTAGGGCAGAGCTGTTCCTCTCCATGCTCCGGAACAGTTGTTGGATGGAAGACAAGCCAGGAATGGCGCCAATGGCAAGGGAGCTGGAAGATGACTGACCTCGGAAAACCCTGCGTCTTCATGTCCTGGCAAAGTGGAGCGTGGCCACAGTGCAATAAGAATAAGGCATATGTTAATAACAACAATTCTAGTAAGAAACAAGAAATAAGAAAGATAATAACAATAGTCATAATAATAATACCAATAACAATATCACTAACTATATTGTTTATAATCATAGTCATTATATTCAAAAGAGAATAGTCGTAATAGCAACAATCAGAGCATGCACAGCAGGGTTGAACTTGGACTCTCCAGCCCTGGTGTGGGCAAACAAGAGAGGGAGCCGAATGAAGAGTCTATCCATTGCATGCAAGGGGGGGGGGGGCATGCGTCGTTTCTCGTTTGCTTTATAAGGGGTTAAGGAGTTTAGGGTTTTAGGGTTTTAGGGTTTTGGGGTTTAGAGGGGATTTCTTCCAAGTGCCAGCAGTAAGCCGCCAGGGTTGCCATCGTAACCCTTAGGGCTTGTGCTAGTACTTGCAGCAGTGGTACAAGGACAGTAGGCAGCAACATTGTCAACGGACATGGGCTGCCTTTCCAGCATTGTATGAGAACGGTCAGGAAGAGCAGTTACGCCCGTCTTGGGCGGCAATCTCACCCTAAACCCTAAACTCTAGACCCTAAGCCCTAAGCCCTAAACTACCCCTAAACCCTAAACCCTAAACCCTAAACCCTAAACCCTAAACCCTAAACCCCAGCTGGTAAATCGTGTGAACTCCCCCGCCCTGACCCCTAAACCCTGCACCCTGAACTCCCCAAGCCCCGTGCCTCCAGGATACCCCCCGCTCTCTCCTAGATGGCCTCGCGTGCGGCGGCGAAGGTGGGGCGATTTCGGGTTAAGGGTTCAGGGAAGGGTTTAGGGATTAGGGTTTAGGGTTTGAGGTTTAGGGTTTAGGGTTTAGGGTTTAGGGTTTAAGGGGAGGTTTAGGGTTGAGGGCAGTAATGGGTCTCTAGGGACTGAGGGCTTCTTTGTTTGAGGGCGCATACGGACGTTGGGGGGGAGAGTTGCGTTCATTTAGGGGTTTAGGGTTTAGGGTTTAGGGTTGGGGCAGTTGGAGGGGCTTGGAAATTCCGGGATTTGCTTCGAAGGTTTCGGGCCTCATGTTTGGATGTTCCCCCAGTTATACTAGCAGTCCTTACTAGGGATGATCATAGGGGGTGCTAGAACCCCTAAACCCTAAACCCTAAACCCTAAACCCTAAACCCTAAACCCTAAACCCTAAACCCTAAACCCTAAACCCTCAACCCTAACCCCTAGCAGGGACTGTTCGTAGAAGGGGGGACCACCCCAAGCCCCGGGTTGTTTAGGGGGTTTGTATGTTGGGTTGTGGATGGCTTTCGGCTGCAGAGGCTTGGGGATTCTTCAGGAAGTGCTTGGGGGGTTTAGGGTTTAGGGTTTAGGGTTAGGTTTAGGGTTTCGGGTTTAGGGTTTAGGGTTTAGGGTTTAGGGTTTAGGGTTTAGGGTTTTGGGGGTTCATTGTTCCTCTTTGTCAAGAACAGTTTGAGATTTTTGCTTCTAGGGGTGCCTTGATTTTTGTTGTCGGGGGTTTAGGGGTCGGGGAGGTTCGGGGGGTTTGGTTGCTTCGGGTGTTAGCAGGCTTAGGGTTTTTGGCTTTCAGGTTTTGCACTGTTAACATAAGCCCTACGCTTTAAGCGCAAAACCCTAATAGCCCCAACTTGTTGGTGAATGGGCCTACGCAGGTGGTGGGGCTGTATAAGGTTAAACCCTGAACCCTAAACTCTGCAGATTCAAATCCGAATCCTCATCTAGAAGCTCGATAGCCCACCGCACCATCATTGGAGTAGATGGGTCCTCGTATTCCTACTATATGGGTCCTTTGTTTCCTACTACATACGGCTCCCGCAGACTCCCTGTTTTGGGGTTCCCCTTGAAGTTTGCTTTTCAGACAGAATCTCCAACCCATCCCAAGGCCCTTAAACCCTCCAGTCCAGAGCCTATAGAATCCCCAGTGGCGCTATCTTTCCTTCTTGTAGACCCTAAACCCTATACACGCTGGGTCCTAAACTCTATACAGCCTGTACACCCTATTCACCCTATACCCCTAACCCTAACCCCAAACCCCAAACCCCTAAGCCTGAACCCTAAGCCCTAAACCCGAAACCCCAAACCCCTACACTTCTCTGGCAGGCGCCGAACCAACGGCCCTCCAGCGGGCGCTGCAACGCCACGCCGAGAACTTCGCTGGGTCCTGGCCTCCTGGCTTAAGGGTTGGGAAAAATTGGGGGGGTTTAGGGTTTAGGGTTTAGGGTTTAGGGTTTAGGGTTTAGGGTTTAGGGTTTAGGGAGTTTAGGGAGTTTAGGGTTCCCATTCGGTTCAGGGCTAGGGGTTGAGGGTTTAGGGGGTGAGTGTTTAAGTTAGCAGAGGCCATTTCCATGTTCTCGCCCAAACCACAACAACCTCTGCCTCACCCTTCAACCCACCGAAAGACCCCAAGACAAGACCCCTAGGATGAAACCCATAGTATGGAACTGGCCATATCCCCATATGAAATAGCATTCTCGACCCCATAACATGCCCCCACCCGATAGAAAACCCACAACACCCAACCCGAAACCCCTAGCCGTAGAAAATGGAAATGGTCTATTCTAACAAGTTTACGAGAAAAGTAATAATTAAGGCTTAGGAATAAGTTGCAATCTGGCCGGATTTCGATGTTTCTGTGCGTCTTCCGTGGTGGCTGTGAGATCATCGCCTGCAGGGATGGCTTTTCGCAGGACATAGCATACCATGAGCAGAGTGCTGTTTAAGCAGCGCGTTGTTGCCTTTGTGTTGGTCGCAATGGCCGGAAGAGTTAAGCCATGGGTACTCCTCGTCGTGGGACTGCGGATGACATGCCCAATGCAGAACAGTGGGTGCACCGGGCCATCGCCGCGTGCTTCCTTGCCAGATTGTGCAAGCCCTTCATTCTTCGTCTCGACAGATGTTGGAAATCAGCTGCCTTTGAACAACCCTACCCTCCAACCCTCCAACCCTCCAACCCTCCAACCCTCCAACCCTCCAACCCTCCAACCCTCCAACCCTCCAACCCTCCAACCCTCCAACCCTCCAACCCTCCAACCCTCCAACCCTCCAACCCTCCAACCCTCCAACCCTCCAACCCTCCAACCCTCCAAACCCTCCAACCCTCCAACCCTCCAACCCTCCAACCCTCCAACCCTCCAACCCTCCAACCCTCCAACCTCCAACCCTCCAACCCTCCAACCCTCCAACCCTCCAACCCTCCAACCCTCCAACCCTCCACCCTCCAACCCTCCAAAACCCTCCAACCCTCCAACCCTCCAACCCTCCAACCCTCCAACCCTCCAACCCTCCACCCTCCAACCCTCCAACCCTCCAACCCTCCAACCCTCCAACCCTCCAACCCTCCAACCCTCCAACCCTCCAACCCTCCAACCCCCAACCCCTCCACCCTCCAACCCTCCAACCCTCCAACCCTCCAACCCTCCAACCCTCCAACCCTCCACCCTCCAAACCCTCCACCCTCCAACCCTCCAACCCTCCAACCCTCCAACCCTCCAACCCCCAACCCTCACCCTCCAACCCTCTCCAAACCCTCCAACCCTCCAACCCTCCAACCCTCCACCCCTCCAACCCTCCAACCCTCCACCCTCCAACCCTCCAACCCTCCAACCCTCCAACCCTCCAACCCTCCAACCCTCCAACCCTCCAACCCTCCAACCCTCCAACCCTCCAACCCTCCAACCCTCCAACCCTCCAACCCTCCAACCCTCCAGCCCTCCAACCCTCCAGCCCTCCAGCCCTCCAGCCCTCCAGCCCTCCAGCCCTCCAGCCCTCAAGCCCTCAAGCCCTCAAGCCCTCAAGCCCTCCAGCCAGCGCTCCAACCTCCAGCCATCCAGCCCTCCAACCAGCCTAGACCCCAGCCTCGCACACCCTTTGAAGCAAAGCACGGAGTGTGTCAGGTTTAGGGTCAAAAAAGAAAGTTTAGGGTTTAGGGCCTAGGGTTTAGGGTTTAGGGTTTAGGGTTGCCGACATTAACTCTGGGACCCTGAACAGAAAGGTCGCTGATCCCCTACGACCCTGAGAACGTCGGGGATGACCTCGCAAGGCATTGGGAACTGTGCCTCTGCGCGAATTCTGTTGGATTTAGGGCTCCTGAACCCTGAACCCTGAACCCTGAACCCTGAACCCTGAACCCTCAACCCTGAACCCTCAACCCTAAACCCTAAACCCTAAACCCTAAGCCTAGAGGAGGTTTCCGGGGAGTTGTAGGGTTGTCGGGTATTTGGGGTTGAGAAGTTCATGATAATAAGTTAAGGGTTTTGGCCTTGGGGTTCTTCTAGAGTAGGTCTTCGCACGCAATTTTTCTAGGGTCCTAGGGGAGGGGGGGGTTCATGGTAGGGTTTAGGGTTTAGGGTTTAGGGTTTAGGGTTCAGGGTTTAGGGTTTAGGGTTTAGGGTTTAAGGTTCAGGGTTTAGGGTTGAGGTAGGTGTCTAAGGAACCTTAGGGAAGCTTAGGGGGCCTTGGGGAGTAGAACCATGCATACACCCCCTTGGCCTTGAACCCCCTCCCTCACAAACACTCGAGTTTCTCGTGGGCTTCAGGTTCCCTTGAGCACCCCTTGAGGTTTAGGGTTCAGGGTTTAGGGTTTAGGGTGTAGGACAGTGTAGGGTTTAGGGTTCAGGGTTTAGGGTGTAGGGTTTAGGGTTTTACGCTGAACAGGTCCAGAATCTGCTGGATTTAGGATGTCGGGTTCAGGGCCATTGCCGAGCAGTCCGACAGCCTCGATGCCAGAAACCTCGAACCCGAAAGTTTCGCTCGCAGAGCTGCGGTTTAGGGCTCAGTGGTTTTGGAAGCCCTAAACTCCAAGCCCCAAACCCTAAGCCCTATAAGCCCTTTAAGCCCTAAACCCTAACCCATATACACCCTCAACCCGAAACCCTTGGTTAAAAAAAGCAACCATCTGTTGGGTTTAGGGCTTAGGGACCATCCCTCGAAAGCCACGAGCCCTCCCAGGCT